GGTGAATGTGTTTTAACCATGTTTTTACCATGTTTATTGCAGACTCCTGGATTTTGGACTGAGGATGAAGGAGAGGTTAACGTGCACAAACGCTCGGCATCATGGGGCAGCGCTGACCATCTCATAGAGGTGCGACCGTTTTTACACATGAAAAGTATTTAAAGTGATAGGTGGTAATGTGTTTATAGACATACTCTGGGCGTATAATTGGCCTCTTTTCCCATAATGATCCTCAAACATACCCACACATTATGTCTTGACTTGCCATTATTGGCTCTTGTGCACTTGCAAAGTCAGTTTGGGAATCCCAAGCTGTGGCAATATAAACATCTATTGAGCATTGTTTGGTGAAACCTGTGAGGTTAGACACAGCTGTTATATTTGGTTAATTGTAGGTCATGTCATCTAGTATACAGCAGTCATCTGGTGTAGGGCTGTAGGGCTTGAGCTTAGATTTTGTGTCACTGTTTGTTTCTTCCATCCATCTTTTGCTGATGGTAAAAATGTGATTTCCAGATTGCAAAACTCCGTCAGCAGCTCCAGCGCAGTTTGCAGGGCAGCCGCAGTATCAAGGAGAAAGAAGAAGTGATGCATCTGAATCCGGCCCAGGTACTGTACATCGACTTGCTAGGGTTATACTGTATGCAGTCATCTTCAGAATTTTAGGGTTTTGCAATCAGAAACATTCATTTTCAAACATTCACTCATTCATAATCATTTTTAAAATGATTTTGAAAGAAGTCTTATATGCTCACCATATTTAAATATATACACGCACACATATGTATGTATGTATGTATATATATATATATGTATACATACACATATATATATATATATATATATGTGTGTGTGTGTGTGTGTGTGTGTATATATATATATATATGATATTTTTTTATTTATATTATATATGTATATATAAATCAATCACATAACTATTTATAAAATGGCATATACTATTAGTAGCATTTTTGTTTACTTTTTAGCAGTGATATAATAATAGTTGTATTAATAGTGACATATATAATAGCATATACTATTATATTTAAAATAATTAAAATATATATTTTATTTATATTTATTTAAACATTTAAATATATTATAATATATAATATAATATAATATATAGGTAGATATAATGCAACATTTTTGGCTTATGGCCCTTTGATCAGTTTACATTTTTGGTCCTTCGTATTAGTAGCTTTGGGCACCTCTGATGTATATACTGTATATGTATTGTGTTTTTTAATATAATGCAGAAAATTATAATGTACGCAAAACATCCAATATGAAAAACCATAATGATCCTAAAAACAAGCTTCACATTTTGCAAAATGTGATTTCATATTTTAATCTTTTTATCTTTTGGGGTAAAATTTGTGTGAGATTAACCTATACATATAGATTTGATAAATTCAGACTTTGACATTAAATATTATAATATATAATATAATATAATATAATATATAGGTAGATATAATGCAACATTTTTGGCTTATGGCCCTTTGATCAGTTTACATTTTTGGTCCTTCGTATTAGTAGCTTGGGCACCTCTGATGTATATACTGTATATGTATTGTGTTTTTTAATATAATGCAGAAAATTATAATGTACGCAAAACATCCAATATGAAAAACCATAATGATCCTAAAAACAAGCTTCACATTTTGCAAAATGTGATTTCATATTTTAATCTTTTTATCTTTTGGGGTAAAATTTGTGTGAGATTAACCTATACATATAGATTTGATAAATTCAGACTTTGACATTAATCAGGTTACTGCTGCTTTTTGTTTTCCAGCCAAAGCGGCTCTCTGCTTCTTCATTTGATATGGTCCGTTCCAGACCCGTCATTTGTCGAATGCCCAGCTATAGTGACTGTGTTAACCAGGAGCTGGAGAACGTCTTCATCTGTGAAGACTGGGGGAGAGAGGAGGAGAAGGTACAAACACACACAGGTTTCAGTGAATCATTTCAACTTCGTAACACTTTTGTAATTATTTTTGTGTTTGTCCTCCTGGTTCAGGCCTTGGAGGTGCGGGACGGCGGCCGCGCTCCTGTTCCTCCTCTTCATGATCACACACACATCTCCTGCAGTCCCTGTTACTGCTGCTCTCCTGCCGCCCACGCTGAGAAAGGTAGCGCTCGTTCAGTACCAGTCCCACGGTGCTGCCCTCTGACACCATCACTGTGCTGTGCTGTCTTCACAGTATGTTTATAAGGGAAGATTTGCTTAAACTAACGCTCGATTCGTTCTCTCAGATTACAGGTGTGGTTCACCTCTGCCTCAGTTTTCCAGCTCTCCCAAACCCAACAACAGTTACACGTTTAAACGTGAGCCTCCTGAGGGCTGCGAGAAAGTCAAAGTGTTTGAAGATCTCATGTAAGTACCATTGACTGCGTTCTCGGTTCTCATAAAATGCCTTGCTTTCTGCTTTTGCTGTGCACATCCAGAGAGCATGCTTTGGTTTTTGTGTTTGCTGGTACAAGGTTTTGCTTGACGTTTGCAGGTAAAACAGCTCGAGCTCAGTTTTGATAGCAGTTTAGCACTCAATTTAAAGCATCATGCTTAGACATGTTTTTTGTGGACAATATCATGACTTTTCCAGTCATTTGTTATTTTTAAAAAGGTGTGTATATTTACAGTAATATTACATGTACTTTCATTTGATTAGGTATTTGCTAAAAAATAACTGTAATTGTATATTTATTTGATTTATATACATTATGCATATATAAATATCACAATATAAAGTTACTAATTAATAACAAATTATATATTTAAATATATACACACATATGTATGTATGTGTGTATATATATATATATATATATATGTATATTATACTATATAGGCATACTATTAATAGCATTTTTGTTTACTTTTTAGTAGTGATATAATAATAGTTGTTTTAATAGTGACATATATAATAGCATATACTATTAATATCATTTTTGTTTACTATTTTAATAGTTATAATAGTACTAATAACAGTTATATTAATAGTTGTATCACAAAGAACAATTTTTAGCCAAAATACTAATATGCAATATTTGCAAATGTGTTTATATTTACAGTATTGCATATACTTTAATTTTATTAATATTTGCTGTTATTAAAAGAATTGTATATTTTTTACAAATTTAATATTTTGTATATTGTAAAAATTGTATATATACATATATAAATATCACAAATATATCAATATCACAAACGTGTGTGTGTATATACATACATACATATTTGTATGATATTTTAGTTTTTTTATATATATATATATATATATATATATGTGTACTGTAAATAAAGGCATATAATATTAATTGTATTTTTGTTAACTTTTTTAATAGGGATAATAGCATTAATAATAGTTGCATTAATAGTGACATATATGTAATAGCGTATACTATTTTATGTATGCATAAATATTATTGCTTTTATATATTACTCATATTATTGCTTTTATTTCCTTGTAGCACTTGTAGGACACCAGGCTTTCCCATCTTCTCCTGCCCAGACAGAAACAAGGTGAACTTCACTCCGAGCGGCTCGGCCTTCTGTCCGGTGAAGCTGCTGTGCTCCTCTCTTTTCCCGTCAGATGATGCTGCTCGCCCCAGCTCAGGACAGACGTCTGGTTCATTTGCAGAACTGCGGCCCGTGTCGTCTGAACGCTGCAGTATTAGGAAGTGCCTGCTGCTCAGTTAGCCAATCACAGCTCAGATCTCAAACAGCTGACTTTTCTAGGAAATTTCGTACTTGCTAATGGTTGTACAAAAGGACCATTATGTTGAACTTTGTCTTGGGGTTTCATGTCATTCTGCTGGAATACACAAATCTTTACTTAACCTTGCAGCACATCCTACTAACCAGGTAAAACGCATTAGATATGACCAATAATCAACGGCCAAAAATGTGCTTCATGCCTTAACACATAACTCAGGTTAAACTTCCATTAGGGCTGGACGATATAGCGAATTATATTTCAATATTTTGAGTCGTTTGATGATATATATTTTTTTCCTGTAGAAGAAACATCATTTCACCCCAACAGTCATTGTATTGCCGGCAAAATGATTGCGAATATATTGTGCATATTCAATATGCTGCCCAGCCCTAACGTTCATACGTTTACAAACAGAACAGTAAAAATGGCTTTGTGTTTTTAGCCTTTTATTCATGTGACACTGTTATTGTGTATAAATATGACTGCTGGATGCTCACATTAAAGTGAAATTTTTCAAAGTATAATATTTGCATTAATTTCTGTTTTACTCCAACTACGTGTTTCCTATTTTTGAAACTGCATTTATTTGGTTGGGGGATTTTTAATGTTTACATTAAACAGCAATGTACATTCTAAATAAAAAATAAAGGAAAATGTACCAGTAATATAGTATGTGCACATATTAGTTTTAATACTTATTAGTCATGAAAATGTTTAATCTGCATATAGATCCAGAAACAGAATTTTCTTTCTTCTGAGAACAATTGAAATAATTTTCTTTCTAAATATTTTTAAAGGAACATTTCAAGTGGCAGCATGCAATTTGTGTATGTACATTATAAAAGGTATAGTCACACTATTGGGTAAAATGAAGCTGCTTTTATTCATTTCATGTCATTCAGGGTTACAGTCGTATTAGAAATGGAAGAAACACACGAGTACAACACAAAATACAGAAAATGATATGCCATTATTTAGTGTAGTAGGATATGATTTATGGTGATGCATATTTTACTTTGTCTAGTAAAGCACTGATATGAACTGACTTCAGTAAGGCCTTTTGGTCCCACTGTGTATTGTGTTATGTGGAATCACATTTACAAAGTTTTATTACATTTTATTGCACTTGCATGTTTGTAGTTTAATATGTATGGTGAAAGGTAATTTGTAGTACATGGGAATCCGTTTTCAGGCACACAAACACATAATTAGCACTGAGAAATAGCCTAGTTAACCAACATATACATAAACGCTTACTTCATACGACCTGGTTTAACCAAGTTGTTTACCAATGTTTTATTGGTATTCATGACAAAAATAAAGAGTACAATAGTCAGGTTCTGGAAGTAAAAATCCACCATCATAAATACATAAAATAAATGAATTAAAAATAAAACACTTCCAGAAACAAGCCTGTAAAAAGTGAGCACAGTTGCTTTTTATAACATAACCATACAGTACATCTTAAATAACGTGTTACATTTATGTACACCTTGACCTATTAATAGCTGCTTTCACATCAGGTGAAGTTTCCATAAGCACTCCACAATATAATATATAATGTTCATTCAAATAAATGAATTGAAGGACTGTGATATCCTCTCATATTTAAGGCTTCTGAAATGCAGCATTAGTTTTAGTTGACGGCACTAAAGTAAGACAAAATGCATACTTTACTTAAATAACACTTGCAAAAATACCTTCCATTTCTTTCATAACTGATCAAGGCAACATCTAAAATAAATAACGATAAAAAATCTGAAATCATGCAATATCACAACATACAAACCCAAACTACTTACTGTTGCTGATAATGCTGTGTAAGGATATATATATATTTATGTAATACAAGATCAAAACTGCCAATGGCAAATCAAACTGCCTTGACAATACTAGCAAATGGAAAAGGAATCAAGGCCAGAGTGATTAGTATTAGTTTCCTTTGGCAGCAAATATTTCTTCATGAAATAATTAAGGTTAACTACTATGGCATAAAGAAATCAGTGCTGATATCTGTCCAGGACAGGCGTCTGTAGGCCTCTCATGAACTGTCGATTGTGCGTCAAGAGCGTAAAGTGCATCTGTAGCAGGGCAGATTAAGCGTTCAGGAGCTCCTGTTCTTCATCGGTTCGGCCGATCGCGTCCGGGTTTGACAGCGGATCCAGGTCGGCAAACAGATTGAACCAAGCAGAGAGATCTTTTGAGGTATCTGTAATGAAAAAAAAAAAAAGGAGTATTAGAATTGTATTACAATATATACAAAAATACAACCTAAAGTTAGGGGTATAAATATTTGCTCTGAAATTTGGTCTCTCAATTTTATTTATTATTTAATTATATGTATTTATTTATTTTATTTTTTTGGGGGGAGGGGTGGTGGGGTTATGATTCATACATTTACAACTGAAAATAGATTCTTTTTGGATAAGAAAATCAACACAAAATGCATTATTATTATAATCAAGTTTTAAGTATTCAATTCTATAATACTGTAAATGCATCTTTTTTTCACATCGATGCATCACAACGGATCAATGCATGTTTACACTCTCAATACTGGTTATGACTGACATATGACTCTGATCATATTTACCTTTCACTGCAGGTTTGGAAGAGATTTGACTCGCTACAGATGAGTTTTCAGGAATATTCTGCGGAATGGCTGTTGTCCAACCTGGAATACAGACAATATTTAAGAGCATTTACAATGGATGTACACTACAAGTTTGGGGTCAAATAAAAAAAAAAAAAGTATTTACTTTTAATTTATTCATTCAGCAAGGACACATTAAATGATGGAATCCCATTTTCACCACAGAATAAAAAAGGTTAATTGCAAATTGTTCATCACACAATTCAGGCTTTTTTTTTTTCCAATTTAAAGTCAGAATTGCAAGAGGTAAACTCTGTTGAAATTCTGTGATGGAAATGGGCTTCCATATTAAATTGACTGAAAGTGACAGTATTGAAATTTAGAATGCTACAAAAGATTTCAAATAAACGCGGTTCTTTTGAACATTCTATTCATAAAAGAATCCTGAAAAAAACGTACCAAGTTTCCAAATATATATGAAGCAGCACAATTGTTTTCAACATTAATAAAGCGAAATGTTTCTTGAGCAACAAATCGGCATATCAGAATGATTTCTGAAGGATCATGTGACACTGAAGACTGGAGGAATGATGCTGAAAATTCAGCTTTGCATCACAGGAATAAATTACTTTTTAAAATATATTTAAATATAAAACAGTTATTTTAAATTGCAATTATATTTCAAAATTTTTCTGTTTGACTATTTTTGATCAAGTAAATGCAGTCTTTCAAATTTTGAAGTCTTTCTACTTTTAAGAATATTTTCAAAAACGTTCAAAAAAATCTTACCAACCCAACTTTTGAACACTAGTGTATAGTTTGTTCCATAATGATCTGCTGACCTGAGACTGTGGACTGCAGGCCGTTCATGTTCCGGTCGAGTAGTTTGGAAGGCAGAAAGAAAGCGGGCTCCTCCTCGGACAGCTGCGTCTCTGCTCTGCTACCGCCGGCCGGATCTTCATCCCCAAACACCTCGCGCCATTCCTGTGAGAAACCCCCGTCCTCCAGAGAACTGCTGCCCAGAATCTCATTCAACAAACTCAAGCCATCCTTCTCCTGACCGCCGGAGAAAGCGTCATCATTTCCTGTAAATACAGGATGAACTTCTCTTCATCTGTGGATAAAATTCATTCAGCTTTCATGAAAGCTTTACCTGTTCGCATGAGGTTACTGCTCAGAGTTTCTTCTTCAATTGAAATAAGCCTGAAACAGAAGATATGATATGAGCGATTAGAGGTATATACACGTCAGACTACAATAAATGAGGACAGAACAGCTCCTACGTTTCATCTGTATTCTGACTCGTCTCCTCATCTTCTGCTTTTGCCTTCGTTTTCTTCTTTACTTTTTTCTTTGCAGCTTGATCTGAACCCTGGAGTATCAGACACGACAGATTTGTTGGACGTGCATCATAATATCACTGCTTGTGTGTCTAAATGATCAAAGATGGGTGAGTGTTTAATAAATGTAAGAGTTATTATTTTATCACAGGTCTGAAACAAAAGCCTATTTTGGGATGATTAATCAATAAGCAGCAGGTTCCTGTTGTGACAACTTGCCCCATGTCATGTGAAGACATTTCTCTACTATTGACAATATCAAGAGGATATTCTACTTGAGAACTGAGACATCCAAACCTCGCTCTGTAGCACACACTACTATTCAAAAGTGTGGGGTTGCGGAGTCTCTTATTCTGACCAAGCATACGTTTATTTGATCGAAAATATGGTAAAAACTGTGAAATATTATTACGATTTAAAATAACTGTTTACTAGTTTTATATGTTTTAAAATATAATTTATTTCTGTGACGTAAAGTTGAATTTTCAGCATCATTACTCCAGTCTTCAGTGTCACATGATTTTTCAGAAATCATTCTAATATGCAGAATTGATGCTCAAGAAACAATTATTCTTATCAATGATGAAAACATTTGCGCTGCTTTATGTTTTTGTTGAAAACTATGATAGTTCAAAAGAACATTTATTTAAAAGAAAAATCTTTTGTAACATAATAAATGTCATTTTTGATGTAATGTACCCTTACTGAATAATAGTGATAAAAATAATTTAAAAAAAACTTACTGACCCCGAACATTTGAAGTGTATTTTTTTTCCCAAAATATGCTATGCTAAATAAATAATTAAGTAAACGTAAATACAAAATGTAACAATCATCTTTCTTTTAAACTAAAAACATCAGAAACAAATCCAAATCTCACTGAAAAATGAAACTTATTTTATCGTTTTAACACAAAATGAGATTTAAGTACGTACACATATTCATATGAATAAATATGAATATCACCAAAGATCTATATACTGAGATTCATTTCTTCTGAAAGCTCTCACCCCCAGCGCTGAAGCCTCATGAGTCTGGCAGCCTTTGAAGCTCTCATGAATAGCAGCCATAGTGTGAGAGGTTTTCTCCCAGAAATGTAGCAATGTGGTCTGAAATAGAAGAAAAGACAGATATTTATCCTCATGACATGTCGTTCTGGAAGGCTTTATTCTGCTAAATTGTGAGATATAACCGCCTTTAACAATTCATTTAGATAATAATAATAAATAATAATAATAAAATTATAATAAATAATAAAAAAGTAATAATAAACAGAATAATTTATAAAAAATAAAATGAATTTAATTTAATCTAATTAAATAATAAATGCATCACATTTACAACGCTCACTAATCAGGTAAATAAATAAATGAATAAATAAACAAACAAATAAATAAGCTACACGATGCAATTAAAATGCAGCACCTGATAGGTTGTCAGAACGTGTGAGAGCAGATTACAGCGACTGGCTCCGAGCAGATCAACCTTCTGACACACATCATTCTTCAGTTTGTCAAAACTTGTCTTGGTATGACGCACCTGAGTTTGAACCTGAGGGATGAAAAACGATGAAACTGCTGCCCATCAAAAACAACCAGCAGAAGAAAGAAGAGGTTAAGATAAACACGGACATTTCAGACCTTCTAGAAGACATTCTCATCCCACGCTACAGTAGATGATAGAAGACACGTTACTCCTTCTGCTGGAGAAACGGTTTCACTGCGTGAGACTGACCTTACGGAACTTCTCCATCTGCTTGTGTGTGTCGGGATCCAGCTCCTGAGAAACGTCCTTCATCCAGAGCAGAGCTCCTCCGTACTCGGTCCGTGACTGCTCCATCCTGTTCACCGTCAGCCACGTGTCAGAAATGGCTCTGTAACGAAACGTCTCCACCTCCTGGTACAGACGGCCCAGCGGACCTCGCAGCGCCAGCCTGCAGGGAGAAACGAATGAACCAAACGAAGAAGAAGAATTCCCAAACCAATCGCATTTGATTAGAAGCTTGAAGACACCTCTGCTGTGAAGAGAAGCAGAGAGCTTTCCCAGTAGCTTGCATGATCTTTCCAGCACGACTTTTGTCCTGAGAGCCCTGTGAACGCAGGAACCGACCCAGTTCATTCTCCTCCTGGGACAAAACTGAAAAAAAGCATCAGAATTTCGCCACATACATACAGTATGTTTTCTTTGAATAATAAATCATTACTGAAATCTAGCTTTAAGTGTTAAACATTTGAACGGCACATTATTAAAAATAAAGGTTCCGAATGGGTGTTTTGTAGTGGAGAAGAACCATTTGGGATTTAATGGTTTAAAGGGGTCATATGATGCTGCTAAAAAGAACATTATTTTGTGTATTTGGTGTAATGAAATGTGTTTATGCGGTTTAAGGTTTAAAAAACACATTATTTTCCACATACTGTACATTATTGTTTCTCCTCTATGCCCCGCCTTTCTGAAACGCGTCGATTTTTACAAAGCTCATCGGTCTGAAAAAGCAAGGTGTGCTGTGATTGGCCAGCAACGGTCCTCCATAAAATGTGCTGCACACATCTGAATATTTGGGTTGAAGTGTTCTGGT